TGTAACTCAAGACTTCAGAAACTTTTGCATTAGGAAGAATCTTTATATATATAGACTATGTATGAAACATTTTTTTAGACTAAACGTTAAGTCAGCTTAGGTCTTATTTTTACATTTGCAAAGAATATCTCTGGAAATGGTATAGTCCATGGTATATAGTTCAATCGTGTAAATACTGAGTAAATCTAACTCTAGCCAATTTATTGATATTTCATACATATCTTTTATTTAAAAACATTGGGTTTTTGGGAAAGTTATGACTCATTTTTGCATAGAGAAATACGTCATGACTTCCCAATGACCTAATACATTTTGGGTTGTGTGAAGCTGTTTCTTAGCTGATGATTATGTGTTTGGAGATTCTTCTGGATGCTAATCTAATGCCTCGTTTCCAAAATAAATAAATGTTGAGTAAAAAGGGGCAATTTCAGTTTTTGGCCCGGATTATTGTAGAACTGAAAAAAAATTTATTGGTAGAGGATAACACACTAATTTCATGTGAAAATATTTAGAAATATTTAGTGCATGCTAATAATTTTACTTTTATTCACTTTAAGTATCTGGCAATTTTTCCAGAAAAAAAAGGAGCCAGATAGATGGTGATATCACTTTTAATCATCCTCATTCTATTTCTGTTTAGGATATCTAGACAGTAATTAATACATTCTGAATACAGGACACTATTTTAAGACATGACAGAAACTGTAGTTTGTGCCAAATATAATGAGAATGGCAATGGCTTCAGCGTAAACTTCACCCTTATTTTTAAAGAGATTTTTGCTATAGGGCACCTGAGCTCACAGAGACACAGAGAGACAGAGAAACTGAAAATGAGAGATCGCCCCCATGGGTTATGGTAATGCCACAGCTCCCTCTCCTTTCCTCTCCTCTCCTCTCCTCTCCTCTCCTCTCCTCTCGGGGTTCTGGGCATTCACAGACATGTGCCAGGGGTGAGTTTCAAGCTGGCGGGTTCAGGACTCGAACCACAGTCCAACATGTGTAAGTCCGGTGCCTTAACACTATGCCACCTGCTGACCCCCACACTTCGGCTGTTTGAAGACTATTGTATGTGTATCGTTTCTTTAGTTGTAATTGGTATAACACATTTGGAATTTATGGAAGTAAGAGTAAGAACTTCATACGTATTTCACATTCAGAGTTTTATGGATCTTATATCTATTTCCTTGGTCCTCATTAATTCTAGCCTGACTGTTAGAATTACATAATGAGTAAAAGGTAATATTAGAGGAACTAGCAGGTGGCATGGTGATTAAGGTGCTCAACTTCCACATGGCCGACCAAGGTTCGAGTCCCAGTCCCGGTAGTTTGAAAATCACTCTGGACACAAATGTGTGTGTGACCAAAATCCTGAGAAGAGAAAGGAGAAGGGATTATGGTGTGGCCTCCCCCATGGAGGAAGATTTATCTCTCTGTCTCTCTCCAAAGAGCACATGTGCCCTATGGTAAAAACCTAAGAAAAGGTGCAAAGTCAGAAAGTAAGTGTACATTATTCTTAGTAGGTAAGCATGCATGAGTAGGGGAGAAAGGGTAGCAGATGGTTTCTCATGGTGGCAATTTTTTCTTTTTTAGAGAGATTTTTTGCTATAGGCCATGTACACTTGCATAGAGATAGAGAGAGACAGAGAGACCGAAACGAGAAGTCACCCCCCAAAGGGGATGGCCACACTGCAATCCCTTCTCCTCCATTCTTCCCTTGGGACTTTGGGCATGCATACACATGTGCCTGGCATGAGTTTTAAGCTGCCAGGTCCAGGACTTGAACCACAGCTAACTGCCTGGGAGTCCAGCAGTAACCATTACACCATCTGCTGGTCCCAGTCACTACACATTTCTACCATGTTGGGTCTCACCTATACATCCTGTCTTTTTCTTAGCTTCCCTTTCTTAGATCTTGATCCCGTACAGGTACTCCTCCACCCCCCAATCGCCAGTGTCTGATTTATTCCTTTCAGAATTCTGAACTTAGGCCTTGTGTTTATCATGGTGGGAGTTTCTATGACAGTATGAGAATCAGCAAGAGTGAAAGACAACTCATCATTTGGTGTGGCCATTGAGTGAACTGATTCATCTGTGGAAGTTTCATGTTGATTACAGTGGTACATGGAGAATAATTCTCCAAGAAAAGATGTTGGGAAAGGATTCCAGTGGGAAAAGTGCTATCGTGCTTTATAGAGGACTAATATCCTAATCTATGTGGAAGAACGAAGGCTCCCTTCCCTGTCCAGCGGAGGCTGGGTGTCAAAGCTGTGACTAAGCCACGGGGAGCTGGAACCACCGGGTGGCCTTGCTGCGTTCCAGCGCCGCTGTGAGGGGAGCACCCGGCCGGGCAGCAGTGACGCGCCGGACACCGGGCTGCCCTCCGTAAAGCAGCTCAGCTCTCTGTGTCTTGGGAAAAAAATTCTCTTTTTTGATGGAATAATCTTACGCCACACTCTTTGGAGAGATATCGTGGCAATGGATCTCTGATGTATTAAACATAGCTTTACAGATTCAAATTAGCTGTCGGTTTTGCTGGAGTATTTAGTTATTTTAGGCTTACAATTTTCCTTAAGTACGGCTACTTTCTTTTGAAAATGTTTAAAGTATTTCTATAGTTTGAAATTGTGATTATTGAATATGCTCAGAGAATACCAAGCAATGTAAATCCGAACAAATTTACAGCCAGGCATCTCATATGCAAACTGCAGAAAGCCAAGATGAAGAAAAATAATCTTGAAATCCAAAGACAGAAAATAAAACAAAACACCTTACCTAGGGGCCAAGTAGGGGTACAGTGGTAGTGCAACTGCATCCACACTGGAAGAGTCCCAAGTTCGAGGCCCAGGTCCCCCTTAAGTATACCGAGTGCCTGTTTGTTGCCATGATCTGGGCCAGCCGAGGTGGGTTATAGCATGAAGACTGTTGTAGGCTCTCTCTCTCTTTCTCAGAAGAACGTTTAAAAATAAGAAATCACAGAAGAAAGAAAACCAGCAGAACACTTCACAGGAGAGCAAGCTTGTGGATTATGGGAACAATGAACAAACAAGCACAATGAATAAAAAGCAAGCGCAGATGTGATCGGTGTGGACACAGCCATATCGTTAATCACTTTAAATGCACATGGCCCCCCCACACTAACTAAGAAGACTAAAAGCGTGGATTTAAAACGATAAGATCCAACTCTGTGCTGTCTGAAAGAAACCCACTTACATATAAACACAGGCTAAAAGCAAGGAGCGGGCAAACGGTGCAGCACACTGAGACGAACCCAGAGAACGCTAGAGTGGCTGTGTTCATGCACATAAAGCTGACTTCGGACCAGAAAAGTTATCAAGGATGACGTAGAAGGGTCCTTTCTCCAAGAAGACATAGCAATCCTTAATGTACCCAATAGTAGAACATCAAAATGTGTGAAGCAAAACCTGATAGCACTGTGAAAAGAAAGAGATCTGCTCTTGTAGCCGAAGTTGCCAACTGCTTCCAGCCATAACTGACGGCCCCGGCAGGCCAACACCAGCCAGGACACAGTGGGAAGGAAGAACATCCTCAGTTAACAGATGTAATTGACATTGATAGCCTCACACCGCCCGATGCCAGCTGAACACGCCTCCTACCGGTCACGGGGAACATTCCCCAGGACCATGGGTTAGCCTGGGGAACTTGTCCAGCTTGGTGTTTGTGGGCCCCACCCAGGAAAGTGAGGTTGAGTAGGTTCCAGGTGACCCTGAATGGGCGCTTTTAACAAATAACCAGGACCTTCGAATGCACTCTCAGTATGCAAGGGCACATGCCAGAGGAACTTGATGGAAAGTTCAGCAGTTCCGATGGCCTCAAACCCCAAGAGACACAAGTAGGAAGATGCAGGGCTTCCTTTCGGTAACAGCCACAGAGGGCATAGAGACGGAGTAACCTTGCTGCTCTGGGGTTGAAGAAGTATGACATATGTCACAGCAATTGTTTCCATCAGCTCTTTCAGAAAGATTAGCTGTCTCACCGTATCTGTAAATCCATTTACAGTCCCTTCCTGTAGATCTCCAGTGGCAGCAGCAGGAGGCCAAAATACATCTTGTGGATCTGTTAAGATGTTTTCATCCCTTAAGAGGATTCCCATGGTAGTATTCACCAGCTTTGCACATGGAAATCTCAGTTGAACATATTCGGTGCCATAAGGTTGATGAAAAAATGTTGTAATCAATGGCGTCTTTTCAGAGGATTTGCTCCCCAGTACGTGGACCTCATCAGTGAGGATTTCTCCATTTTCACTCTAAGTATCTTAATATTTGGGGCAAAGATCCCTTTGATTTGTTTTAAAGAATTATTTTATCTTAACTTTATTTATTATTATTATTATTTTTCATTTGACCGGAGAGAGACAGAGAGAGAGAGAAAGGAAAGTGAGAAAGCAAGCCACCAGGTCCACGACTTGAGCCATGGTCAGGCATGTGGGCGTCCAGTACCTTTAACTCCCATGCCACCTGCCAGCCCCCCTTTTGATAATTTGATGAGGGTCTTGGATCTCCCCTTCCAAACATCTTTAAATGAAGTCACATTTTCCATTGGTGGTTAGGGTCTCTGTGAACAGCTCCCAAAGCTCCTTAGTGCAGATTTGACAAAGGACTTGGGAAGGGCCATGTCACACAGAAGAAGGGTTATTCTGGTCAGCAGCCAAGGGGTTTGCAGTTAGAGAACTTCTGCCCTCCTCCCCCATGGAGAAGGCGTGATGTCTTTATGTGGGGGCTGGAGAATGGTGAGTCTTTTGATGAGAGTAATCAACCCCTCTGTGGGTATAGGCTAAAACATCTTTGTGGTTTTGTTTGCCAGTAATGGAGGGTTCTGGTCAAAGGTAGTTGTAACTATCTCCTTATTTTCTGATGGGAAATTCCCCAAAGGTCTTTCAGGGGTCAGTCTAATAAGTCCATAAACTTTGGCTTAACATTTTTTGATTTTAGATATGTGGTATCATGATTTATAATTCAGTAGGATTTTATATGTTTTCCAAGTACCTGTATAAGAACGAAATTCATGCCTTAGATAAACAGACATTTAAAGGACTCAAATCCTTGGAACAGCTGTAAGTAAAAGAAGCTCCCTTATTGAATCTCTGATAGTTATGGTTCACGCAGGAAAACTTTAAAATATGCTATTATGTGACAGCTGAACAATTATTTTAAGCCTTGTCATGTAGCTTGAATGATTGAGTATTTTGTTATCAGCTGGATAAAAGTCAGAATGCATTACTGAGTTGGCATGAAGGCTGGAAGAGAACTCAGCTGGAATCCCAGTTCCTGAATTTCTTAGTTGTGATTTGGGGCAAGTGACCCTTGCTAAATGCAGATATTTCTGCTGTGAAGAGGTAGCTATTGCATGTACAAAGACAAGTTTATGTATTCCTGAACACAAAATGGGCATTTTATAGAAGGTAACTTATAGTTGTGATTATCATTAATTTATAAAACAAATGGAAATTTGTAACTGATATGGAAACTCCCTGAGTGGGAGAGCTAGCCTTTTATTTTATAAACGAGAAAATCAAGTGCATTATTAAGTAAGTAACTTGCTCAAGATGAAAAGTCTGTGGCATTATTGTTACAACCCAGACTTGGTTTCTTCTTGGTACTTTTTTCAGTATTTGAAACAAATCCAACTACTCAGAATTTCAGCATGAAATATAAATTCCTAGTATCAAAAAGCCATGTGATACTGTGAACTGCTGCTGAACTGCCATCTGATGTTCTATTCAGAAGTCCCTCAATTATGAGTGTCTACAACACAAATACCGATTAGATATTCGGAGAGATTGTTCCCCATTGATGTCGAGCTATTGATATTTTTTAAGGTCAAGCATATAAAGTGTGCTTTGGTTTTTCATTGTCCGTAGAACTTCTGTATACAAGAGCCTTTGAATCCGAACTTTGTATCTATCTTCAATATATATATTTTTTTCATTTCCAAAAACGTATTTGCATCATCTCTATTATAAACTGGCTCAGAGAAATCTGTATTTCTTTTTCCTAGATGGTCACCCAGGGCCAGTGAGTGATGCGGAGGTTAAGATGCTGGATCCCACATGTCTGGCTGCTTAGTTCAAGTCCTGGACTCAGTAATTTGAAAGTGATGCCAGGCGCATGTGCGTACATGCCCCAAATTCCAAGAAGAGAATGGAAGGGTCATTCCTCTTGGGGGGAGATTTCTCACTCTCCCTCTGTCTCTCTCTCTCTGGCACATGCCTTATAGCGAACAAACAAACAAAACAAACAAAAGCAAAAAACTAAAAAAAAAAAGTCAACTAATCAAATGTATTTTAAAAAATTATCATGGCTTCTATCTCTCCCTTTTGTTAATTATATTTGATCTGACTAATAAGAAATCCCTGTGACAAACATTGTTTCCTGACCTTTTCCTTATGAACTGTGTAACGTCTAAGGTAATTTTTACTATATTGCTTAGTACGTCTTAGAACTCAGATACAACTGAGTTTGATCTGAGTGAAAAAGTTGGGCACTTAATAGCTATTTGATTTTCAGAATTTCACTTGAACATTATTGTGGGATGCTGCGCACCAGCGAATATTGCCCTTAGGTTTCAGTTTCTCAGCAAACAATTACACAATGCCAAAGGCTATGATTGGCTTCCCTTCAAAACCTTACCTTCAAAACCATACTCTGATTGGCCACTTCCCGTAGCAAATCGGTGAGCTTAGAGTCCCTCAGATTTGCATATCTGGCACCTCATGATTGGTCCACAAAAGCAACCAATCATAACCCCCATCTGATGTTCTATTCAGAAGTCCCTCAATTATGAGTGTCTACAACACAAATACCGATTAGATATTCGGAGAGATTGTTCCCCATTGATGTCGAGCTATTGATATTTTTTAAGGTCAAGCATATAAAGTGTGCTTTGGTTTTTCATTGTCCGTAGAACTTCTGTATACAAGAGCCTTTGAATCCGAACTTTGTATCTATCTTCAATATATATATTTTTTTCATTTCCAAAAACGTATTTGCATCATCTCTATTATAAACTGGCTCAGAGAAATCTGTATTTCTTTTTCCTAGATGGTCACCCAGGGCCAGTGAGTGATGCGGAGGTTAAGATGCTGGATCCCACATGTCTGGCTGCTTAGTTCAAGTCCTGGACTCAGTAATTTGAAAGTGATGCCAGGCGCATGTGCGTACATGCCCCAAATTCCAAGAAGAGAATGGAAGGGTCATTCCTCTTGGGGGGAGATTTCTCACTCTCCCTCTGTCTCTCTCTCTCTGGCACATGCCTTATAGCGAACAAACAAACAAAACAAACAAAAGCAAAAAACTAAAAAAAAAAAGTCAACTAATCAAATGTATTTTAAAAAATTATCATGGCTTCTATCTCTCCCTTTTGTTAATTATATTTGATCTGACTAATAAGAAATCCCTGTGACAAACATTGTTTCCTGACCTTTTCCTTATGAACTGTGTAACGTCTAAGGTAATTTTTACTATATTGCTTAGTACGTCTTAGAACTCAGATACAACTGAGTTTGATCTGAGTGAAAAAGTTGGGCACTTAATAGCTATTTGATTTTCAGAATTTCACTTGAACATTATTGTGGGATGCTGCGCACCAGCGAATATTGCCCTTAGGTTTCAGTTTCTCAGCAAACAATTACACAATGCCAAAGGCTATGATTGGCTTCCCTTCAAAACCTTACCTTCAAAACCATACTCTGATTGGCCACTTCCCGTAGCAAATCGGTGAGCTTAGAGTCCCTCAGATTTGCATATCTGGCACCTCATGATTGGTCCACAAAAGCAACCAATCATAACCCACCTTTTACAATCCTACATTTACATACAGAACAACCAATCACCGCCCACCAACATGTATATAACCATGATCCTTGGCCCACAATCTCCGGACGACCCCGAAGAGTTGTAATGCTGTGTCGTCTCCAGACAACCCTGAAGAGTTGTAACACTGCGTTGTCTCCGTGTTGTAACACTACACCGTTCATCCCATCTCTCACTCCTTCCCTCAGGAAACCTGTTCGACTGTCCTGTGGGTCAGGACAATTATGAACCTTACTTTCTTTTTCTTTTCTCTTCTCTTCCCTTTTCTTCTCTTCTCTTCTTTTCTTTATTTTCGAGAGATATTTTGCTATAGGATAAGTGCATTTGCCAGAGAGACAGAGAGAGACCAAGAGACAGGAAGCGAGAAATCATACCCCAGGGGGATGGCCATGCTTCAATCCCTTCTCCTCCATTCTCCTCTCAGGATTATCCTTTCACTGTTTTTTAAATGAAGATAACAATAGAAATTGTCCTGGCTAGCTCTGAGATCTAGGGATAATATACATGAAGCATTTTCAAAACTAAATCTTGAATTAATAATATCTTTTATCTTTGTTGCCATACTTTAATGATGATTTTTTTTTTTTTGGAGAGGTTTTTGCTACAGGGTGCATGCGCTTGCCAGACAGACAGAGAGAGACAGAGAGACAGAAAGCGAAAAATCACCCCCCAGGGGGATGGCCACGCTGCAATCCCTTCTCCTCCATTCTCCTCTCAGGATCTTGGGCACGCACGCACACGCACCCGGCGTGAGTTTTAAGCCACTGGGTCTGGGACACGAACCACGGTCGACTACGTGAGAGTCCAGTGACATAGCCATTATGCTAACTGCTAGCCCCTAATGATGATTTTTTTTGGTTATTATTTCAGTAGTTACTTTCTGTACAACTTTAAAGACAGAGCATTTTTAAATAGCATGTTTGTTAAATCCCAAATTAAATTTAACCAGTGATACAAAATACCAGTAACTTAATTTCTTTGACCTTTTTGGGTCTGTCTGGTCTATTTTAAAGGACTTTCTACTTTTACTTCTTTTTTTTTGGGAAAGTTTATTTATTTATTTCTTCTATGTGAGAGATAGAAAGAGAGAGAAGCACCTTCAACAGGGTCTTCAAGCTGCAGTTCACTCCAGGCCTGGCTCACCGGAATACAGCCATGAGCACCTTTGCTGTGCAGAGACCTCAAGACTTGAACCCAGGTCCTTCCTATGTGGCTTCAGCATCATGAGGCATTTGTAACCACTGTGTCACGAGGCATTTGTAACCACTGTGTCACTACAGTTGGCTTAATTTTTTTTCTTTCTTTCTTTCTTTCTTTCTTTTTTTTTTTTTTTTTTTTTTTTTTTGAGAGGTTTTTGCTAGAGGGCACATGCACTCGCCAGAAAGACAGAGAGAGAGACAGAAAGTGAGAAATCACCTCCCAGGGGGTTTGGCCACACCTCAATTCCTTCTCCTCCATTCTCCTCTTGGGATCTTGGGCATGCACGCACATATATGTGCCCGGAGTGAGTTTAGGCCACAGGGTCCAGGACTTGAACTGTGGTCAACTACATGGGTGTCCAGTGACAGCTGTTATGCTAACTGCTGGTCCCTAATTTTATTTCTTAATGCAAGGTGTAACTGGTTGTAAATGCTAAAAATTAAGCTTCAAAACATGTAAATATCTGTAATGATAAAGTTAATGTTTCAAAGGTTTTATTAGAACCATCTCATTTTTTTAGAAGCCCAAGTGGAATTCCTTAGGAATCTAGAGCTGTGGGGAATGGAGTAACTAATGTGATACTCTTGTACTTAGAGATTCTTTCAAAATCTGAAGATCCTGACTAGAGCAGAGGGCACACAAGTAGAAATCCTGCAACGGGCCCACATTGAGCTCGTCCACCTTGTCAGCCCATTCTTCTAGAGACCACCCGGAGCACAGCTGTTACCCACGCGGCCTCTGTCCCTCATAGCTGAGGAGACCGTCAGGAGAGGGCCTGAGAGAGCGCTGCCCAGACTTGGACTCTGAGCGTGGGAGGGAGCTCAGGAAGCAGAGATTTCTCTAGACTAGATGATATTTTAGAGAGCATGGACAGTTGTGTATCTTCATAAACGTCTATGCCAGCACTCGGGAGGGGAGGCAAGCCTGGGGATAAATCTTTAGGCTTGGCCAGGAGAAGAGGGTATTTGGCTGGGGTCCTGGTTCGACCTGAAAACAATGAGCTTTAGCTGACGGTGGCTGGGCAGGAGGACCACCGCGTGGC